ATCATATTTAAACCTGATTTTTTGAGTTTCGATAGGAAAACCAGCAACATTTGTGTAAAAATAAAAGATAAACTAGTACTTTTATGGTCATTACAGCACATTTGAATTGAGTTGCGATAAAGTATAAAAACCTTTTAAACAATATTCAAAAGAAAACACTCATCTAGCCACTTTGAGAAGCCAGATTTGAGTTTTTTTGGATGTTTTCCAGCCAAAAATGATCCTACCTTTGCTATCACTTACACATATTTCTGATTGCAGCATATGATATCCGTGGCATCCTCTCTGACAACACAACAGACAATAAAAAGCAGTCAAGAGGGTTATTGTCACTCAGGAGATCCTGGCAAAACTTCAGACGATTTTAAAGAAAGATGTCTACCCAAAAGAGAAGATAATGATTTCTGGCCATTACCATAAAAAACATCCACCATCTGATGCTATAGCAGCTGATAATCGCATCACTGATCCCTCCCCCCTCCCCACCTTCTCATAAATCCAGCCAGCTTCCATCACAGCGACCTATCTCGAATGTCTTCCATGAAAACACCCCGATACCATCGCCTCCTCCTGCTATCTCCGAGCCAAAAACATCTTATCCGACGAGGAAATGAGAAGCAACAAAAGAAGAAGAAAAAAAAAAACGGACATCCTGAGTCGTGCATTTGTCAAACGGTGTGTGAGTGTTTGTGAGTCCGTGCTTACTGCAGGTGGTGCCTCTAATTGCTCTCACGAGGGTCTCCAGAGTGAACAGTAGTCGTCAGCAGAGGAGAAAGTGACATGTATTGATTTAAAAATGGGGGCAGGATCCCATTAAGGCTTTCCCCCTAAACAAAATGCCCCGCTCTCATTTTTCTCAAAAACCCAAGTCCAGCCAAGCCAGCTCAGGCCTTTTCTAAGTATCTGCTGTCCGGGGGGAAGATGTGCTGCAACCGTCTATCCTCTGTCTGAGCCGACAGCGACGCAGCATAAAAACACACAACCAAAGTGCAGGTATCACTTTGCATTATGCCAATAAAGTCCATGCTGGAAATGTCCTGGTAAATCAATAACACAGTGATCTAGTTCATACAAAAATGACCTGTCAAAGTCCTGTCTTGATACTGGAAACAGAAACTAAAAGATTATCTCACTACAAAGTCTATTTAGTAGCTTTTGTGGAGCGTAACACATGACACACACATCATATGATCATCCAGCTCTCAGGAGGATTGTGTGATATGATTAAAATCTTCCAAATAGCTACAAAAGGAACCTCAGGGTTTGTCAAATAGTTTTGTATATTTCAATTCTTTTATTCACAAGCAAGGATGAGAAGAATCTAAAGTGGTCAGAAATATACAATTGGACAAACTCCATCTGCTGAGGAAGACAATGAAAAGCTGTATCAAACTCTCATCGATTTCTCAGTTGTTTCCTGAGATATTCCAAATGTACGTTAAAGAAATCTGGAGCCAAATCCCTCTATTTTCTCTGTCTAAAGAACTTAAATATTGTTGACCTCTCATCTTGTATACATACATTTATCCAGTCAACTGCCAGCTGAACAGGCAACTTAGACCTGCCGATCTTCTGAGAACCACACTTGAATGTTTTGGGTCAGAGGTGGCTGCAAGCTGTAAAAAACAAAATAACTTCTACTGCACTACTGCATGTTTTTCTAGATCATGTAGTTGAGGTCTCATTTATTATTTTCTCACTGGGTGGAGGGTAAAAGTCGCTTAATTTTTAGAAGCACTAGTCAGAACCTCGGCCTCACCACAGGTGCTCAGTTTCACGTTATAGAGCCTGAGGACACTTTCACTTCACTGCGGCTTTGCATGAGAACAGCTCATACTCGGAGGTTTGCTCTTTAGTGACATGTGCGAGTGATTTGGGAGACTTTATGGCATCTATCAGTCTTTGTAGAATGTAGAATTTGCTCCCGGGTGAATGCAAAATTGAAGAGGTTCCTGCACAGAGCCAAACGCACAAATCTGACTGGAAAATATGATGCTTTAATCTGAATTAATTTGGAGTTTCAATATGATGCCAACAGTAGCAGTTTATGCAAAATTAATAATGTGTTCACAGACTGGAGGCTCCCTAGTGTAAAAATCTTATTTTTAATCTTTACTCTTCTCTTCAGATCTTACAAACATTTATAGATGGATTTCATCAGCCCGAAACAAGCAGCTTTTACCTCTTTACAGTGAAGAGACTGTGTTGACACCAACTTTGGACACAAAGCTCAAGGATGAAAATGCAAAGACACGAGTCTGGATCGCCACCGGCTGCATTACTGCATCATTTCCACTTCCACATCATGACAGGAAACAGCTGCAACAATCACGATTCTAATTTAATCCCCAATTAAATTCTTGTCGTTCTGCTGATTCGCTGACATTCTGGAGGTCTTCATTAAGCTCAAAATTTATGCGATCTACCGGACTGTGAGTTTATTCGTTGTTATCTTTGGAGCTTCCTCTTTGGCTGCTGTCTGACGTCATTAAAAACATTAAAAGAGATTAATAAGAAACGAAGAGCTCGTAGATAACCTTCCAGAGATTAAGGAGCATTTGGAAAATGAAATGCTGAACCCTTTCACCCATGAAGGCCTCGTTATCGAAAGCAAGTGGGCGACAATAAAAGCAGGGAACAATGAGCAGGAGGGCTGGAAGGGTTAACTGTCTGCTTCGCCAGGCAGCAGGCCTGAGACTGAGCTTTTCTAACGGGCCCCATTTCTCAAACCGGCTCCCTTTTCTCTTCAGAGCGTCATCTCCTGCGGACACAAAGCTGAGCTCCCACATAAGCGTACCAGAGTGTGCCACATGTTCAGTGGAGCACCAAGCCTCCGCCTGTCCCTCATGAAATATTCATCAGCCAGTGCCGACGGAAAAGCGGTGATGTCAGAGATTCCAGTTTCGGTGTCCTGTTTCTGCGCCGCCACAGTGACACAGCAGCTCGGCGAGGTAAGGAGGGCCGGGGGGCTTTGCAGGGCTTTCGGCAGGGGTTAAGTTTGAGCACTTGTCCTGTGAACTGTGAAATAAGACTGTGTCTCATTGTTGGCGGTGTGCTCTGCGAGGTTCTTATTTACTAACCAGGGAATTAAAGGCTGCTCTCTCTTGGCTGATTAGTCAGCTAATCAGTTGATAAGGCCTTGTGAGGTTGATAGTTGGTTAGCCTTTTTTTTCTTCGTCTTCTTTTTTTCTTTTTTTTAATTAAGTCTTCAAAAGGAATCAATTACTTAATCACTAGTCATTATCAGAAGAAAGCGCTCTGTGTGTGGGAATTCATGTGCAAAATGGACAGATTTAACTGGTCAATCAGGTGGAGCAGAGCTATGACGACTAACCTGGACAGACACGACACACATTAAAGCTGATTTTAAGTGTGAATCGGTTGCCCCTGGCACCTGCCCAGCCATCTGTCAATACTGGTGTTTGTCTCCATTCTTTGTCAATCAGGGGTTCCAAGTGTATATTGTGAGCTAGTGTGTTGTGATTGGTTGATTGATGTGTGCAGTTTGAGCTAATAAGATGTAAATCTGGGCTCACTTTTTGGGGGCTGGTTTTGATTTTAGGGAGTAAGAAATGATGATATTGATATATATAAACGTAAATGGAGGTTCACAAACTTGTTGGCACCTTACCATGAAGACAAAGCTTAACTCTGCACCACCCTCTGCTCAGCTCTGATCCGTACTCTGCTACATGTGCTGCAGCCAGTGCTGAGCACATTTCACTAGCAGCTCTACTAAACCATGTGATGACACCATTTCTAAATTACTCCAAGCATCTTATTCTGTATTATACTGTAGAAGCCCAGCCACCTTGCTCCCACACGCCTTTCCAGCTCTGCCCACAAATTTTCTACGGGATTGAGATCAAGGCTTTGTGATGGTCACTCCAAAACATTGGCTTTGTTGTCCTTAAGCCACTTTCTAACTAATTTGGCGGTATGCTTTGGGGTTGATGCGCACATTTTGCACCAAAACACTTCATCTCTGGGACACAGAACCCATCTCCTTCCTGAGTGATTACACTTGTGTATAATTGTTCCAACAGATGAACGTGGAACCTTCAGGCATCTGGAAACACAATTCTCTTCCTGATATCTTGACTGATTTCTTTAGATGTTGTCGCAAAAGGAAGCAGTGTGTTTGAGGTTAAAATACATCCATAAGTGTGCCTCCAATTAACTCAAATGTTGTCAATTAACCTATCACAAGCTTCCAAAGCCATGACATCATCATCTGGGCTTTCTGAAATAGTTTGAAGGCATAGTAACCTTAGTATATGTAAACTTCTGACTTTGAAGAAAGTAATAAAGACAGCTCTAAAAAAAACTCTCTCTCTCATTGTTCTGGCATTTTGCAAATAGAAATAATTTCAGTAATCCTAACTGACCTGAAACAGGAAAAGTTTAGTCTGATTTAATGTCAAACACTGAGAAATAAAAGGTTTTTATGTCTTTTTATATAGTGTATGTAAACTTCTGGTTTCAACTGTTCATACAGAGCTTAACAAGTTAGACAGGTGGTGTAATAAATTTGTTAAGCACTATACAGATATCTATATATCTGCCGATATCTCCGGGAAACTGATATCTGTGAGGCTCTACTGTTAACACAAGTCTAATAAAAAACATTCAGCGCTTGCACATCTTGAGCCAACAATTATAGCCACTGTATATCGTACCTTCTCTTGATGATGGCAGCTGATTTGATAAACACCGACCAGGCCAATCGGATCATAACAGCTTAACTGTTTCGGCTTCACATACTAAAACTGCTGGATGAATATTTCATGTTTTACTATTTGCTCACAGGCCACAGTTTCCCTCCATCGGCCTGTCTTTTCTCTCGCATGAACAGTCTCGCTGATAGAAGACTGCAGCAATCCAAACTAATGTCCACTCTTCCTTATACCACCTCTGCACAAGTCGCATTCATTCGAAGCGCCGCCATCCCAAAAATCCATTTCTAGATGGATTCCTGCTGCGGCCCCTCTGAAAATTACCTGCCGGCTGTCGCGCTGGGAAGAGGACGAGGAGGAGGCGCTCTTGTGAACCGGCGTGGAGGTCTTGTTCACTGGCATGGAGCTCCTGTCCTCAGAGCTCATGGTGCGGCCGTGGGGGCCTCGCTGGTAGTGTTGGTGGTGGTGGTGAGACATGGTGGGCACCAGTTGGCTCTGTGGACCTCCCTCAGCACTGGGCCCCACAGATCAGGAGCATCCTCTGACACTTCCTCACGCTCACTGCTCGCTTCTCATCTGAAACACAAGGGTCAGGAAGTTACACTATCGCATCCACTTCACCTTCCTCATTGCATCACAGTGCTGTTGTTTACACCAGAGACAGTCGACCGCGCTGCCAGCCTCTGAAATTAGCCTCTCCAAGGCTTTCAGAAGTACCCTCCGTCAATTTCCGTATGGTAATTTGACTCACAGATGCTCAGTTAAGACACCCTGAGCTATTCTTTGAAGCATAGGGTTGTCAGATTCTTCTCATTACATGTGCATTACTGGGTAAGCCTTTCATTATGTTTGCTGTGGGGTCGGTGTCGCTCAGGATTACCCAACAAGGGGTTCGCACTTCACTGAATAATCTGGAAACCAAATTGAAGGTATATTAGGGATGCAACTGATGATTAATAATCTTCAGTTAATCTGTTGATGATCATGTTGAAAAAGTGAGTGATATCTGGCATCATCTGGCATTATGACTGAATTTTCTCACTGTAATTGTTAATAAACGACTGAAACAATTAACTGATTATTAAAATAGTCACCAGTCTCATTTTCTGTCAATACACAAATGAATTAATCGACTCTTCCAGCTTTAACCAACACAGCGTCGAGCCTCGAACTGCGTGGCATATTTATGTTAAACAGCAAACAGTATATCTTTGTGCATCGCTGTTTACAATTAGGAAATGTGGCAATTACCTTGTCAACTAATGACTGCAGTCACTACTTCCACTGCAGAAGATTGAAATCATCCCACAGGACTGTTCTGTAACATAAATCCCTTACCATCTAATTACCTCTATGATAATGATCGTATTTAGGTGAGGAAACCCAATCAATACAAGAACGCATCAGCTCTGTTCCAACGGTTACAGACCGGCTGAAGCAACCTCGTACAATCTCACACGCACCAGCCATAGCTAAGGGAATAATATCGTCCTCTGGTTTAACCTTTAAAACCTCAGACGGCGAGGGCGGAGTCATATTTTGAGTGAATACATTAGATTCAAAATGTCTGGTTAACCTTATGTTCAGAGAGCAGCAGGGAGTGCTCGTTTTCATCATTAGTCGTGGCACTGTGCTGCTCCACGCTGACACCCATAACACTGCCGGCAGTGGTGCTGTGTAATTGTCTGAGCTCTCGGGAGGTCTCACCGTTAAAACACACATCGATTGCGAGATAGTAGAAAACAAACACATAAACAAGCCGAGACGCTGAGGATGTTATTGGACCTTCACAAGGGCAAACATAAGTTCTGAACAAATACCTCAGCGGCGATAATGTGACTTTTGGGGACTGAGAAGAATATTTACACAAAGGAATATCTCCACAAAGTAATGGGAATATAAATAATAAGACACATTCACTGTTTATTTTATTTAACTAGATCAAGCCATCATACTCCAACGGAGACGCAGCCTTCAAAGACAGCAAAATATCATATTAATAGAGCAGCTCCCTAATAAATCACATGCAGAGAAAAACAATGTTTCACTTGTTTATTAACCTTGATCACACTAAAGTGTTTCCCCTGATGGCAGAACGAGCCGATTTCAGCCTAAGTGTGGTTAGTGTATAACACAGTATTATGGTAAATCCTGAAGCTAGTCACTTTAAGGGTTAGTCAATTTATTCAACACTTACAACTATCTTAATAACTTATAAATAGCTGGAATATTTTATGGGCAAAACATCCTGATCACAGCCTCTAAGTTGTCACGATATTCTAGGTTTCTATTGTGTATGGTAGTGTAAACTCAATATCCATGGGTTTTGGATACTGACTGTATATAAAGATGGATGAAACCTGAACCGGCAGTTTTGAAGCTCAGTATGGACGCACTGACTGTCGCCATCTTTGCAGCACCTGACTCATAACTAATCCACAAAAGAGGTGGAGCATAAGTGGAGCTGAGGTGGGCCATGGCAACAAACTGTTATGCGCCTTTAATTACCTTTAATTATGCATAACTGTAACCTTAAATACAATTGAAACTGGTGACTTATAATAAAAAATCAACCCCCATACAGGGGGTACATACATTAACCCTATTCAGGAAGTTCTTGTAGATAACCTTGTAGATAACCCAGTCTTTCAGGGTCCATTGGACCCCAAGAACTATGTGCAAAATATTTGTTGGTATTCATTATAGACTTTTATACTATTTTAAATAAATTTTCTGATAAGTTGACGTATTTTTGGTTCCACATGCATGACAAATGTCCCTCTTTTTATATATATTTAAAAAAAATCTTCAAAAACAAAAAAACGATACCCATCACCTAAACCAAATGGCCTGGGGTCCAAAATAGAGTTAATATAGAAATGAGAGACCATCTTGCTAAATTCCCATACTGTATGCTCAATACGCTTTTGTGATAGCATTATTATTCTGCATTTTAGCACTCAAAATTAAAGAAAACATTCTCAAAGACAGGTGCATAAAACTGTGTGGCAATGCAGGATTATCTCCCTTCCGCCACAGGCAGTGATATGTCACGCCACAGACACTCTGTGTTTATAGCTACTGTATGCAGCTCTCGAACACCCTGTGGTTTCAGCTACAGGATGTTTCTGTTGAGCTCTCCCATATCTCAGGGAGCCTCGGAGTCCACCGAGCAGCTCTGCACACAACAGCAGCATGCGCAATCACATGCAACCGTGCTCCATGCTCACACACTATAATCTATAATTCAGATCCTTCAACGACGTCATCATCCCTGCCCCGTCTTGTCTTAAGCCAACAAGGATGTAAGCTACTGTAAGATGAGGCACTAAGTCCATTCAGATAGTGGACTCCACTTAACCTATTTATTAGATCCACTCTCCTTGACCTAATAAGAAAGCAGAAGTGATGGGTGCTTTCTGTGTAAAGTTTCAATACACTGTTAATCTTTGGCCGAGCGGGTTATAGTTTCAGAGTATTTTCAGTGACATTTACTGACATTAAAGACCTACACTGCCACCAATCAGCATGTGAAAAAGGCAGACGGATATGAAAGCAGATATAAAGCTACTGTATGCACAAGTGAAGTGAAAACATGCAATTTTTTTCACTTCACTTTTTTCCCCCTTCTCGCAGAACATGTAATTTCACCATTGTCAATGTGAATTCTATATTGCAAACACGTTTTTTTAATAGTCCGAATAATTTCAGTATTTACTGACTAAATCCGCCAATTATTGTTCGCTCATAATGCTTTGTGAAAACACGAACTGATCACTGCAGAGGTTTTGTAGTGTGAACAAATCATGTGGCCAAGAGTGCACAAACTAAGAAAAGCACCGACATCACACATGTGACACACGTGAAGCCGTTTGTTTGACTCCTGTTTAAACGGACGGCTTCATATGAAACCATTTCTCATGTTGGGGAAAGTCTGATCAGGACCTGATTAGTCACGAGCTTATTGTTCTAAATCCAGGCACCATGATTACGGTCGTCTAAGCAGGGAGACAAGGCACACCATGCACCGTGGATGACACAGTGACACCACTAAAAAATAATTTAAAATAAAAAACCTGGTCAAGACCTCAGCAACAATCCTCAAATCAAACACGATGCCGTCTCCAAAAAGAATTCTGGTTGTTAAATAAAAATGATGACGCAAGGTTTAATTTTTATCCAGTTTTTTAAATCCATGCACTTTAACACCACCACAATGCTTCTAAGAAGAAGCCACTCGAGCCTCAGAGCTTCCTCATTTTACCTCGCTGTTATATTCTGCTTTTGAATTTTTATTTGTTTGTGTATGCCTGTCATTTACGGTGTTTACTGCTTCTGCATGTTCCCTATCTAGCTGACGGATTGTATTCTGAGTGATGGTAGATGAGTGTCTGCTTCTGCTATGCCGCAGCTAAATTTCCAATACGGGGGAAATAAAGACTGAAGTGAACCGAGTGAGTACCTCAATTAAAAAATAAAGGTACACTCTTTGATGTGCTTCACACAAAAAGTATTACGTATTATATAAGAAAGCTGTCTTCCTGGGAATGAAACGTTCAAATGTCAGCCCAGAAAAACTGATCTCAAATGATCATGAATATTTAAATGCTTTACTTGTACGAATCAAACAGCATATTCCGATATTATGTCAAGTCCCTGCGCGCTTCAACTCCCGTTCTCAGAGTCGGGTTTGCGAGTCTCAAGTTCGAATAATCGACTGTGGTTATGAAGTTTCAAGATCCTACTAGACAAAGAGGGTCCTTCAGTTATGTACAGCAACAATAGCACTAGTATGTAGGGGACAACCCTTCTGCCGACATTTTCCAGATGCCTCAAGACGCAATAAAATGTCACCAACTTAAACATAATGAACACATTGACTTCTGAAATGACCCTCTGAATCATCCGCGCAACAGATCTTCCACCACCTGACACGAACGTCCACGTGATTTAGAACAAACCCGGCTGATGGAAATAAGTCTTCCTGAGGTCTAAAGTAAAACTGATAATAAGTCAAAGTGAATGAGTAGCTCATTTCTGGGACAGAAGGATGAGCAATAAAGTTATGAATTATCCTAAACTGTTGCTGACACCTCTCTATTTCTGCGTTCAGCTCAAGGTCAGTGTCGCAAGAGAGAATTTTGGGGAAGGCTAGTGTTTTAAAATGAACGAGCAGTATTGCAAAACCAATTGTGTGATGCAGCTAAAGACTGTATGCGCCACATTCATGACCCTTACGCACAGCGACAGAATGCCACTGACACTCTCGATGTTTGATTAAAGTAAAACTAGGTTACACTCAGTTGCTTCCACTATTGAACGGAACCAGTAACTAGATTGTGCTTTTTGGATCACATGCCAAGTCCCACCCATCTGCGTGCTCTGCAGCATCGGTGCATCAATCTATATTTTTCTAACTGAGAGTGGAGAAGGTGACTACTTTATGATTAACTGCACCAACATGCTGCGGAATTCTGATGGCCTGCAAGATCTTTTTTAATCCACACTAAAGTTAGCAAACAGCTCATCCTTACAGAATGCTATCCTGTGGATGTTTCATGAATGGTGATGGCATTAAGGTGCGTAAAATAGTTGACTTTAATGCTACATATCGGGGCTCTGCTTTGACATTTTCACACGCGCTGACAGGTGAAGTGAAAAAACACTCTTCTGCTATGAAACCTTGTGTCCTGACATTCATGTGGATGTTGCTTTGACACGTATCGACCACATCAACATTGTTCCGGACCACACACACCCCACATGGCAACAGCACTCCCCAAAACCTGTGGTACCTTACCCAGCAGAACCATGCCCCCTGTTACAGCTCGAGGAACACAACCAAGAGCTCAACTCCTTAGATCTTATGTCAATCGAACAGCCGTGAGATAAACCGGAACAAGGCCGAGCCACAACCCACAGGACCCAAAGGATCCGTTGCCACAGCCCCGGTGCCAGACACCGCAGGACACCTCCGGAGGGACTGTGTTCACGGCCCGATGGTTCAGAGGTTTTTGGGCAGCCCGATGGGGAACCTACACAATATTAGGAGAGCGGTTTTAATGTTGAGGTTGATGTAACCTCTTTGTTTGTGCCGATGCATCACACACAACAAAGAACTCTTCGTGGAAACCGTCTTGTTTCCTCAAAACTGTTTACAGCTCAAAGTCGCGTGGCACCACAGCCATGAAATGTCTTCATAAGCAAAAATAAATGTAAAAAAAACTACTTTCACTTCCCTCACCCAAAACCAAGTTCTGTTTGTCTCATTTCATGCTTCAGAAAAGCAAACAAATGTGAGAAGAGTTTCTCATTCAAAAGTAATGATGAAAACTGTCAGAGAGATACTATGAAATTAATATTGTGATTTAAGATTCATACATGCTTCATTAATTTACACTCTGGAGACACTTTAAAAAAAAAAGCTGAGTAAACATCCGTAATGATTGGGTGGAAATGAAACACAGGCTTCATCCGTGACTGTTTGTGGTTTACAGCAGAAGCGTATTTGCAACATATACACAACGTACAGAGTGGCATCTCTATAGGAGTAAATTAATATGTTCAGAAATGCTTTTTAAATGTTTGCTGCCCTCACTGAAGATCATCTGGTTGTACTCACTGCTCTGGCAGCTGAGCACACAATTAGTCTCCCTCCGTATCTGAGCATCAACTCAGCGAATGAGAAACTTTATAGCATTTCACACTGTTAGATATGCCAAAAATTCCACTGGTGGTATATTAAAACGGCACTAAAGAGTTTGCTGAATGTTAATGGGTTGGTAGTCTATAATATTTGTGCTGCTCAAGCGCAAAAAAACCCCAAAGACAGGATGTTGACGTGAACTTTTGAGTAGTTCTCTGAGGAGTTCTATTAATGGGTGGGGTCTAGTGAGCACTATTTATGGTGCGATAAGGCTGAGAACACAGTTATAGTACTTAAGGATCATTTAAAAAAACACTACTGGTGGAATGTTCTTCTTCTATAAGTCCCTCCAGCTGTCACAGAGTGAGTACCACCAACTTCAAGTAGCTGCAAATACAACAATGTGCTCCACTGACACATCTTGAACAAGGTGCTACATTCCTAAAGGCTCCGGGGCTTTTTTTTTTGTGGCTGGATATGTGCTGTGACCTTCGAGGGAGGTGCCAAGTGAATAAGCCAAATCTCTCCTTCAGGGATCAATAGAATATCGCGAATAGAGAAGTGACAATCATGCGTCCTGACGTGGGTCAAATGAAAGCAAAGCTGTCCAGAGAGGGCCGTGGTAATCCCACTATGCTCTGCTCTGTGAGATCTAAGAGGGATGAAGGAAATAAACTTTAGACTTCAAGGCACCCGATACGCCAGGAACCGCAAGACCCAAAAGAATCAGAAAACAATCAGAAAACACTTTGCATGTTTGCTGCTCTTAATGCGCATTACACACAAAGCAGCACGGACGTTAATGGCATCACTCAACACAAGCATGTAACACGATGAAGCATGACGCTAACTGGTGCTGTAACAGTTTGTGTTGTCACCACATCCAAGGAACACAATATCACATTATTGACCAGCACTCCACAGTGAACCAAGTTGCTCCTCTCTGTTGCATAATTAAAGTGGGGCAACAAAAGCAGACTCATGTCCTTATATTATATTACAGGGTCTTGGAGGACAAGTATTGTCTGAATTTACAACTGGCTAATAATGCATATCGATTGACCTTTTACCTGAGCGTACAATACGCAGCTAAATGGATGTACGGCTTGTGTGACATCTGGGGAGAAGTGAGCATCTCTTTAAACTAGGCCTGCCTTTTTTCTTTTTTTTTTTGTAACAACACCAACTGGACAGAGCCAGTTTATCCCGCGCTGCACACATTACATCATCTAGGTAGAGCTGGGAATCACACACTGCAATACTTTTAAGGCTCTGTCTGACTCGTGCCCATATTGGTACAAACTTGGAAAGTGCAAGTTGAATTCTTGTTAAGATCCTCTCAGCTGCTGCCTCTCATAAACCGCGATGTGTTAACTTGTTACTGTCTCCCTGCAGCGATCGCGTCGAGACAGCAGATTGTTTGGCTCACTTTGTTGGCTTCTAAAAGAGCATTTGTGAAGGGAAACTTCTTGATTTTCCTGCAAATTAATTAGTGTAAAGTGTTATTTTGGTGTTGGAACTAAAAAAAAAAAAATCTGGTGTCATGTTTACAACTGAAACCAATGATCCCAAAAACTATGCTCCCAGGAAAGCAAACCAAGAATAAAAAACACAATTTAAAGTAAAATGAACAAATGACACTCTGGTTATGATGGAATTATCTGCAACTATACATGAGCCATAGTATTTAAAACCAGATTTTAGTCTGGCTGCTGCTTTAATTCACAATCAGCTTTGTGCATGGATGTGTCAGCTCGTTTACAGAGCAAAAGGCAGCAATTATTGTGGTTTGTTTTGCTAAATATTAATGACTGAATTCATTATTTTGCTCATCAAAGTGAGTCTGGCCTCTGCTTTGGCTCACACAAGCTCTGCGAAGATCTCCTCCTAAATGGGACGGGGACACCTTCAGGAGGAGGGTTCTTCAGGCCGCCATCTATCAGGGAATCGATAATCACTGCTGATCAAAGCAACATCCATTCAAGAAAGCATGTCAGCTACAAACTACAGATGCCATTGAGCTCTCCGGTCTCCTCTGCTGCTCTTTAATTTATGTGATTCGAGGCTATTTTAAACAACTGCAAAGTCACTGGCTGACCTTCAGTAGAAAAAAAAAAAACAGGAGGCTGAGTGGTGTTGTGGAGCAGCCCCTGTGAGTGACTGAAGTTGGCTAACTTTCAATTAGTTGGCTTTTCAGCACTGACAAACCAGCTGATGAGGAGGAAGATTATGAGTGGAGATCATGTATCCTCACTAATACTCCAGTGGATCATGAGACACTGATCCGGTGGGACTGTGGAGGGGAAACCTTGCAGCTCAGTTCAAAAAAAAAATAAAAAAAATAAAAAAAGGTGAAAATGTCAGTGACGCAGTCGGTGACAGAGTTGGCTGCCTGGCTGCTTCATGGCTCCGCTGGAGGATGCATGTTCGGTGGATGCTGGATGCTGTAGGATGCTGGCATGTTTTGGAGGATTATGGTGCCTGACTAGCAGCAGCTAGCTCAGTCAGCGGTGGCTAGGTGGTCATGTCTGACTGGTCCTCGGTGATTCACTCAGGATGCAAATACAAAAGGATGCTGGGGTCTCAGTCTGAGGGGCTGAATCGAGCAGCAGCTGCATAGCTTAAATCAGCTGATAGGATGCTGAATGTTTAGTCTCAATAACCAACGCTGGGTTTAATGTTGCTCTGGGATAATCATTTTTTAAAAAGCAGATTTCCTTACCACAGATGCGCTGTGATGACCATGTCTTTACAGTTCTTGGCGCAGGAAACAATTGAGGGGGTCTTTCCTTGACTGGGCTCAGATTCCCAGCTGCTCAGAGGCCAGCTGCGTCCATAGGAATCCACGTGGAAGGTATTTATTTCTTCTCGGCGGAGACTCGTCCAGTACGGAGGCTAGAACATTATGGAAAGTGGGGGAAAAAAGTGCTGTGTTTGCCCGTTTCCTTGAATGCGGGGCTGTGATGCTCGGCTCAGCTCAACTGCACTCCGCTCGCTCCTCCCTGCAGCAAGATCGGCTTTGAGCGGGAAGAAATCGCCGGAGTGGATCAAACGGCTGCGCACAGAGGCTGCGCACAAAACCCGGACATGGAGCCGCGCGGAGTCCGGAGCCGGAAGAGACCAGTGGCCACAGACTATGGTAGTGACCGGAGCAAGCTGAGAGTTAATAAATAAATAAATACATAAATAAATAAATAACTACATACATAAATAAATAAAAGAAGCTATGTAGTGTGAACATTTTAATTTATTCAACCAAAACAGTACATATTGTAACCACACAATTTCAATTTAAATAGTATTAATAATTTTAATGGTTCACTAAAGCAAATCATGAAAAAAGTATTTTTTTGCCTAATGACTCCATCTCAAGAAGAATTTGTTCTCAAGCTACATTTTTTTTAACAGTCAAAACATCTTTTATTTAGATTTTTTTTTTAAACTTGAGAAGTTGAGGAACATAAATAGTGTCAACATTTTATATATTACTGTAATATATAGAAGACAAAATAAAGAGCAATCAGCCAGAGTACTAATAATGGTATCCCAGTTATTATTATTATTGTTGTTGTTGTTGTTGTTATCATATTTAATATTAAAAAATAGATTAAGAGAGAGATTAAAAAAGAGAGAGATTGAAGAACACAAGCAGTGTCAACATTTTCACATTTTCATGTCTCACAGTAACCACATAATGGAAAATACACTAAAATACAACACACAAGCTTTTTTTTTTTTTTTATCTCTTCTACTTTTAGGAAATCAAACAGGGATCCCAATGTGACACAGTTCTATAAACATTAACTTCCTCACAACAATATACAGAAAAAAATCAACCACAGAACTGATGACGCCATTTCTAGTGCAATTCATCCTGAGGCAGCTTTTCATTTACAGATGCTGCTGTCAAAATGGGGAACTCTGTATTTTGATTCCAAACTACTACAACAACAAAAACAGAGAAACTAAGGAAGTAGTGTCAACATTTTAATGTCTTCAAATAACCGCACAGTAGAAAATACAACAACACAAGTGAAATAATTCTTCTCCTTTTTAGGAATTGAAACACGGCTTTCAAAACTATTTTATCAAAAAAAATGACCATGGCCACCACACAGGCCCACTTATTCATTCACTTAAACATTTTGTTTAATTTGTTTACTCAAACTACAAAGAACAAGAGTCTCTGGGAAGTTTTAACTCTCTAATAATAAATCCTGGAATAAACTTAATTTAATGTGTTGACCTTATCATTCATTCATCTCATGATTTTAAGTCAAAATGCCTCAAGAATTCATGCTTTTATATTTTCAAGTCATCAAGTTCAATTAGCAATGGGCAAATCACATATATTTCTATAAACTAGAAAATATGAGCTGATTTGACTCAACTAATGATGTTTTACAGTGTGATTAACATCATTTACGGATACATAAAATAAATATTATATATGCAATTATCTTATGAGCTATAATCTTTAAAATAGAAACATTGCGGATGAAATCAAGTCATTTTGATGCATTTATAGCGTTTCAGTCACAGTACATGGCCTGCAATCCCCTTTGGACAAGTGAAAAACTGTGTTATACGAGTGGAATTGGTCCTTTCAAGCAATTTCAACCTGTAAAAAGAACTGGATCGGTTCTAATGTAGGGCATACAGCAGCTAAAATAATTCAGACACAGCCTAAGGATAACTGCAAAACAGACGACTTCTTTATGACTGTTTGACCCAGATTAAAGCAACTGTACATGTTGTGATGAAACTCTATAATTCACTGGTGTCACTAAATTTTACTGCTGACACTAGTTATATTATTGTTTTGCATGTTTTATATACTGACTGCATGCCTTCTCTTGTAAAGGTTTGTCTCTCATCCACTCTTGTTTGTGCTCAGGAAGGCCAGCTTGACCCTGATGCCTTGGAGGACACAGGAGGCCTTATCTTGTCTCCTGAAGGCCCACACAAATAATTCTGAGGAGGCCTTGGAGTGCCTTGTTAGTGGAGCAGTTAAACAAAACCCCAAGAGGCTGACGCCCACCTTTTTCTCTCTGCTGGAAAGGCTATGAGGCAGAAACCTCCCTACAAGACTGAGTGAGACTTTATACCTTTGGAACAGAAGGCATGAGGGATGTATTGAAATCAACAGCTCTGATGGACACTTGCTATTTGGGAATTTGTTCTTTGTAGAATTTCCACAGCACATGCATCAAAATTGAATAATTGGGTTTTGGCAGACGATAATTTTTTTTGGCCCAACACCTGAGATACTCTCCTCTGATGTACATGACAGTCCACACTCCAGGCATCATGAAGTATTAGCAGAAGCTGTGAGGTCAAACATGGGGCAGTGGTGCAGCTGCAGGCACACCATTTGATAAAGTCAGTGTGGAAATGATTCACTGAACATGACTGTTCCATGTACTGTAAAACAAAGACGAGCATCACCCAGCTCTCTCTGTTCTTACCTTTTTGTTTCCAACTGTACCAAGACTGTATGGTTGCCTGGCAACATCATTCACCATCCCATTTCTATAGCTAATGGGCAGCAGACAGGCATTAGTCAGCTCCACTGGTGGGAAGTAAATGAAGTACTGCAATCCAATCCAATTCAAGGCACTTGAGTGTTTTCTATGGCATGTAATGCTCTCTACCCTCCTACAATTCAGCTGACATTATTTTCGTCTGCTCTATTTATTTCCAAGTGTAGGTATAAATATATAGATGGAGTACTTTGCTAATCCCAAAGCAATCACTTCACAAAACATCCAAATTGAGAGATATAAGAAATTCTGTGCTTTCTACTGAACTATACACATGTGATGCTTTAAGCTATTAATTTCATAGATTTTCTTTTTCAAAACTACCTTTAGCTGTTTTTTTTAAGATTTACTGTTAAAGATAAGGAGGGTAAAATGAAACTCCATCTTGACCAGTTTCCACATTTGAATGTTGTTTAGCCATTAATAGATCATTAATAACAATCCAGTGATTTGCTATTGAAGACTTTAAGAAGTAAAACTAAGCAAAATGGATGTTTGCTTGTTTGAATCTATATTTATTTGTGTATGTTTCACTGAGATTACATTCACACCTGAAAGCAACATCTTAGAACCACAGTGTACTGAAATTAGAATTACGAGTATTTTAACTGATAGTGGATTTTTGAGGTCGACACTGATACCGATGTATCAATATTGACTTATTATATCTAACAAAAATAAACCTGGATAATATTTTTCTAAACGTTACATTCTTAAACATTTGTTATGAAAAAACAAAACACAATTTTATTGTTTAACAAATCGGGTAAAATACACACAGATTGGGACACCGCGATAAACAGTGCTCTCTGGTGGACAAATAGTTTCCAACAAACTATTATTGTTAATATCAGTAGACACACACAGTATTTTGATATGGATATATCAGTAAGCTAATATTGGCTGGTGTGGCAGTTAAGCTAATTTACCTGCTAGGGTTTAATTTTTAAACTGTGGTGTTTCAGCTTTTACATGTATTCATTATGGCAGAATATTTTATCCAACTGACATACATAAGGCACAGAAGGTCAAAGAAGAACCCTCAGGAGTTAGTGCTGCAATGCTCAGTGTCATGTTCCACCTGAACCGGTTCCACAAGCTTGTAGGGACAAGAAATAAGGCATCTATAGCAAAACACATTTTTGGAGGAAGAGAAATAGAAAGGGAAATCAAGTGCATATTTTTTGTCTGTGTCACGACAGACGCTAAATACTTGCTTCCATTACTGCTGATTGGCTAGTAAAGCAAAAATAAGTCAAGCATCCGCAAGCTCCCACGTAGACCCAAATAACTTTCTTCAGATGGACACCGGGGTCAAAGGTCATTGGGTGACCAGAGTTAAGGGCTTCAGTATGGTCCACATTGGAGACGGAGCTGTTGCTAAAACTGGATGTGACCATAAAACAACCTGGCGGGGTAATGTTTGTAAAACCTCTTGAGAACTTTAAGCTGTAGGCTAACAAAACCTATAAATTGTGTTGTAGTTGAGATGACGCCATCTAACTTCACTATCAAGTAAAATATTCTAACCTGATGTTGAGTTTAGAATATAGATAGGGAACAGGTTTAGGCCTGTCAGTGAGGCCAATGAAGGAAACCTTCACAACGATTTAGCTGAAACCGCTGTTTGGATACATGGAGACCTTGAAAACAGGGGAATGCATAAGGCAAATATTTGAGTATGATTGTCAAATATTCCTCAAATACAGGTGCAGCCACGGAGCAATTACAAGCAAATCGTGGTGCTGTACGAGATAGAGCATAAAACTGATAAAGCTTTTACACACATGTTCTGTCGAATATATAAAAACATTCTGGTACACAGCTACTGTTTTAAATGCATGAATGAGCGGTGAACTCAGCATCTTTGCGTGTTAGGCTTCGGTGCTCCTTAGTGTTTGGTGCTCCGGTGCCAGTATCTTGGAAACTGGTGCGTTCCTGGGACACACACACACACACACACACACACACACACACAGAGGTTTATGGAGAGTGCTTTACGTGCCGTTAAGCTTCGAGGTCGTCAGTGGGAAAAGGTAACCATTAACTCCCATCTGTCTGTGTCTGTCTGAAAAATGATAGGCTATCAGATTTCATAGCCGGCCTGAACTCTGACACTCTCTTATTTAAGCCTTCCTCTGTCTCACAGCTTGTCATAGTGAGAATACCCCCTTGTCACTACTGATTTGCAGGCTTCCTATTGTTAGGACCACAGAGGATTGTATGAATCCTGTGTGGGCAGAGATCAGAGAAAGCAAGTGGGCAGACAGTTATTTTAATTAGAATATAAGGTGACTATACTTCCCCTTCTGTTGCTTTCAGCACTTTGACAGAGGATGTGTTTTTTTTTTCTATTATAAATGCAATCCCAGTTGCTGTACTTTGCACTTTAAAGATCAGCTCTATGATTTCTTGGGAAGAGAATCAAAAGGAAAAGCCAGTTTGATAACCTCACCACGTGCTTATCTCTTGCGGTTGTAGTACTAGGTGTGTTAAAATGACATGAGTGGGAAGGCAGGGAGTTTCACGTTGCGCAACTCACATTGTCACCGAGAGCTCGTCCGTCGTGACGCGGATGATGCAACGGGTCACATGACTGATGACGCAGCAAGCCGGAGTGAGTTCAGTGAAGGAAGAGGAGTTCCAGTGAACCGCCCGAACCCGAGCCGGCAGCCAGGGACGACAAAACCCGGGAGCTTTCAGTCACATTGAGCTGGTTGAATAGATATCAAGAGAAGGTAGGACGATACTTATGGTAATATCAAGCTTTTCTTGTAGTTTTCTACCAACATGACTTGTTTCTTTACCACTTAAATCTGCTTTTGCCGGTTGGTCTCGTGTGCAACGTGGTCTGGTGCCGGTCAGTATCCGGTTAAAACTCCGTTATCTTAAAAAAAGAAAAAAAACAGGATACATTAAATCACATTTACTGTACTAAACTTAGTATTTAACTTTTTAACGCAACATTATTCATTCTGGGGTCTTGCTTAATCCTAATATCTGACATTATTTAATAGCAACTCTGAAGCTCTAGTGACTCATATTAAGCCATATTATTAGTTTTTAGTATCATTTTTTTCTGATCGTAGTGATAGTAAACATATGTAACTGTCGCTTTCATTGTCTTATAAAAGCTGAGTTACAGAAGTTTTGTAACACTGCGCATGCCAGTTGCGCAACTGGGAAGTGACCCCCCACCTCCCCTTGTGGCTGGATGAGGGATTACATTTTTTAAAGCAGGATTTTGGTGTTGAGAGTGATTTCATTTGTAATTTTTAAGTGTGTGTGTGTATATATGTAGCACCTTTTAAAGCAACCAGAGTTGACCAGAGAGCTGTACATATAGTAAGACCAAAAAGTGAGTCAGAACACAGAATAAAGGCTTGTAAAAACCAATTTGCAAAACAAATCTCAAATATTTAAACAAGATAAAAAGATAAAACCTTGTAAGATCAACTTTTAAAATGAAATACTGACATAGTAAGACCAGTAAGAGCAGCCAGAATTCATAGAGAACTTGTACGTCTTTGATTTTTCTCAATAAAAAAGGAACATTTAATTGAGAGAGGAAGGCTGTTTAAAAGCTTTGGATCTGCTGCCACAAAGGTACGATCTCCTGTGGAGCAATCAAACTGAGATCTTAGAGGTCGAGTAGGAACAGAGGAGTTCACAGTTCAGTATCAAAGCTGATCAGGAAGTTAACTCCATTTATTCTCTGTCTCTTTTTCCTCTCGTGTAGAAATCATGCCTGGAGACATCGCCAAAGGCAAGAAGGCTTTCGTCCAGAAGTGTGCCCAGTGTCACACTGTGGAGAACGGTGGAAAGCATAAGGTTGGACCCAACCTTTGGGGTCTGTTTGGGCGCAAAACCGGCCAGGCAGAGGGCTTCTCCTATACCGATGCCAACAAAAGCAAAGGTAAATGCTGATTGTGTGTATGTGTAGTATTTGAATAGTCTTATGAGTCACGTTGTTTGATTTAATTCTCCGCTGTGTTTGATCATATTAATTGCAGGCATCATCTGGGAGGAGGACACCCTGATGATTTATTTGGAGAACCCCAAGAAATACATTCCAGGAACGAAGATGATCTTCGCGGGGATTAAAAAGAAGAACGAGCGAGCTGACCTTATAGCATATCTCAAGTCTGCAACTTCATAAAGAACTTTTCATCTTTGCCCATTTTGTGTCTTGACTAACTGCTCAAGAGACCAGGACTGATAATTTCTTTCAACAAAAGGCAGAACAGTAACCAATCGAAGTGGTGTTGGCAAGAGAAGTTGCCATCTTTGACACGGCTGAACGTCTGTTTCTGATATCACTCGCCCCCTTGTGGTGGAGTAAATGACATGTCCTGGTTTTAACAGGTTCCTTTTCTAATATAAATTATTGATCAATATACTGTGTATTCAGAATGTAGGGACTGAAAGCTGTTTGTTAACTGTCATCAGTAGTTTTTTCTGTGTGTCTTGGTTTACAATCAAAATGTCTTAATAATTATCCCAAGAATGAATATGCCTTGTCTACTTCGATGATACCTCAATTGTCTTTTGTCATTTTTGAATTTAAAAGTTAAATAAAATTGACACTAAACATTGTTTTAGATTTTTTTTTAAATTAGTATGTTCCAAGAAATAAGTGATAGAAAGAGCGATATATTCTAATATCTTGTATGCACGTTTTCAAATTTCCTGAACAGGGAATTTGGAAAACTTCAAGGTGGAACAGTGGTTGGCACTGTCGCCTCACAGCTGGAAGATCCCTGGTTCGTGTCCCAGTGAGGACACCCAGGATCTTTCTGTGTGGAGTTTGCATGTCCTCCCCGTGCAGTGTGGGTTCTCTCTGGGTTCTCCGGCTTCCTCCCACACAGTCCAAAAACATGTTGAGGTTAATTAGTGATTCTAAATCATCCGTATGTGTGAATGTGAGTGTGCTTGGTTGTTTGTCTCTAAGTGTGGCCCTGTGAAAGATTGGTGACCTGTCCAGGGTGTCCCCTGCTTTCACCCTAAGTCAGCTGGGATAGACTCCAGCCCGATTTCTACAAAGTAATGTCAGTGAATTAAATATAAAATGCAAAGTAAGTGATTGCATAAGTGTTAGCCCCTTCAAGTCAGTATTTAGTTGTCGTATCTTTAGCTGCAATTTTAGCATTGAGCATGTGTGGACAGATCTCAATCAGCCCTGCACATCTGGATGCTGTAATTTTACCACGTTATTCTTTGTAAAGACATCTAAAGCTCTAAAGAACACCCACAAATTCTCATTTGAAATGAGGTCTAGGTTCTGACTCGGCCACTCCAGAACATTCTCCTTGTTCTCATTAAACAATTTTTGTCTAGTTTTAGTTGTATGCTTTGGTTAACTGTCACTAAATGTGTGACTTCCAGCACCACCCGGCTGCACCAGTGTGGAATTAGAATGAGTCACTTTCATGAGGATGAATACTTGAGCCCTCACTTGTTGTATATTTTATATTTTATTCAACTGACATAGTAGACATCTGTTCTGACTCTGTTTTTTTTTTCTTATCAAAAAGGCTCAATTAAAATGACTAGGATTCATGTTTGCAATCATCCATCCATCCATTATCTATACATCGCTTAATCCTCACTAGGGTCGCGGGGGGGCTGGAGCCTATCCCAGCTGACTTAGGGTGAAGGCAGGAGACACCCTGGACAGATCACCAGTCTATCACAGGGCCACACTTAGAGACAGACAACCAAGCACACTCACATTCACACCTACGGACAATTTAGAATCACCAATTAACCTCAACATGTTTTTGTGGGAGGAAGCCGGAGAACCCGGAGAGAACCCACGCTGCATGGGGAGGACATGCAAACTCCACGCAGAAAGATTCCGGTGCCCTGTTTGCAATCAATGAAAGTGAAAAAAAAACTTCCCAGGTGGTGAATACTTTTTATAGGCCATGTGTGTTTGGACCACTTTGGGAAGAGTAATGTCTCGCCCTCAGAGAAATCAGTGCATTTGTTACATCTGTTTGAATTGTCAGATGATGTTTAGGTGACAACTGCTGCATATTTTGGAAGCCATAGGTTATATAAGTTGTTTGACCTCAGTTGAAGTTGCTGATCAAGAGCAAGTGCACAAATCACCGAGTACATTTGTTGGATCACTGTATGATAAAAGCTGGTAGAAAACATCATGTTGACATATATATTATATCCAGTTTTCAAAGTCAGAAAGCTTAAAGTGAAAGACATAATTGGACAAGGAGTGTCCCTGATAGCAGACACCAACTACGACCCATCAGTTGTGCTGTGATCTACATTTGCAGTCCAAATTGTGGAGTATGACGCCCCCTAGCGTTCAAACGTCACACCTGCACTCAGATTCATTAATAATATTGTATAAAGGAATTTGATTTTCTGACATGCTCACTGTGCCAATTAAAGTCGCTGTTACATAACTAAGTGATTAAAAAAACCTGCAGATTTGCCAAACTTTGTTTTTTTTGTGTGTGTGAAATAAATGAATTGTCATTTTGCAGTGTTTATCACCTGCTCAATGATTCTCTTTGTCAGAGAGCATTATGTAAAATGTAATCTACCCACATGGGAGGTATTTTTTGCTTTTTAGAAACCTCCTGCATTTTCAGTAATCATCACCAATGAGCAAAACATCCTCTCCACTCTAATCCACCATTTTCCATCTTTGCATATTGCAGCCCCACAGTTTAAAATATGCATCTTGGAGGGGGGGTGCATTATTCATGCTGAAAATGATGATAGGTGAATTCACCCTAGACATCATTATCCTCAGCACCGTCATCACACTCTCTCTTAAAGGAGGGCAAACGGTTCAGATGGCCAGAGGGGCTGAGAGCTGAAGCAACCCTGAGCTCCTGTCTGTGTGACGAAGCGAGCATCAGCGGGACGGAGCCAACCACAGCCAACGTCATTTGCACACAAGAGGACGACGGTGATGCTCAGTAGTGGCTCAGTGTGAGATTTATTTTTTATTTTTTTAAATGCATATAATAGCCTCGAATTGCTTCCACGTTGCTTTACAGTGAAAATCTTTAATTAAGTGGACGTTGTGGAGATGCTGTGGATGGATATGCTGGTGCGCAAAGGGAGTCTCCATCCCTCTCCTCACAGAGTGGAACCTGGATATGAAGCCGGAGCTCCAGGGGTGTTCCCAGCATAATGCATCCTGGAAGTTTTGGTATTCGCACGATTCTCTAACTTTAACCCTCAGTAAAGCCTCATAGATGCTTTTTCCCTGCGCGTCTTCATGGATTTGGTTCACTGAGGACCATCTGAAGCACAGACATGGCAGTGGCGAATATGGTGTTCTCTGACGTGGAAAGTTTTCTGGACTCGCATCCCGACTTGTTCGAGGACTACCTGAACAGAAAGGGGAATTATAGCATGGTGGAGAAATGGCTCAAGAATCACCAGGCGAGCAAAAGTCCGGCGGCCGCTGCTCCCGCCGAGCCGAGGGGAGAGGAGAAGAGCAACGCGTGCAAGGACAGCTGGGCGAGCAAATGTGACGGTCTGCAGCGGAGAGCGTCTCAGAAGGAGCTGCGCAAAACTTTCGCCAGATCCAAGGCCATCAACGTGAACAGGACATACGACGAACATGTGAATTCCAGGGCCCAGGAGCCGCTGACGAGCATGAGGAGGAGAGCCCTGCTGAGGAAGGCGAGCTCTCTGCCCCCGACCACTGCGCACATCCTGAGCGCACTGCTGGAGTCCAGAGTCAACATCCCCCAGTACCCGTCCACAGCCGTGGATTTTAAATATTACCTCAAAGAACACAACGAGAGAGAGTTTTTCCTGGAGCTGGTCAAAGACATCTCGAACGACTTGGATCTAACGAGTCTCAGCTACAAAATCCTGGTGTTTGTTTGTATTATGGTCGACGCAGACCGGTGCTCCTTGTTTTTAGTGGAGGGAACGGGCAACAAGAAAACACTAGTGTCCAAATTCTTTGACGTGCACGCAGGTACCACGGTTCTGCCCTCTATGAATTCGGATGAAGTTCAGGTGCCGTGGGGCAAAGGGATCATTGGATACGTGGCTGAGCACGGGGAGACGGTGAACATCCCTGACGCTTATCAGGTGCCTGCACCTCTTTGTGCATGCATGCATGTTGGCATGAGTCACAGAAACAGGGAGCCAGGTCATTTTCTCTCAGCTTTTATCTGTCAAACTGTAGAAACTGAAAGCATGGAAGCCAGCACTAGTGAGCTGGACATACTGTGTCAAAACTCCACCAATCAGTAACAGAAAAGCCTCCTTCCTGTTTGTTGAGGCAAAACAACACTTTCACATCCAAACCAGAGTCAGAGTGAAGTCTAAAAGTGTCTTTGGTTGATTATTTACACTAGAAAATGAAGGTTACATGGCTTTAATATCCAAACTGAGGCATCATCTGAGAGCAAAACTTCAAACTACGCTCTTGTCAATCACATTGTCTTTATCCTAGACTTTTTTTTTTTTTATTCTTAGTAAGACTTGCAGTCCTGATGAGCAACACATTTACTGCCCCGTCAACTGAAATTAAGAGTGAGGAAACTGCCTTTCAACCCCCCCAACAAGTGCTTACATTGTGTCTTTATTTCACACTGTGCAGGATCGCAGGTTCAGTGATGAAATTGACAAGCTGACAGGGTACAAAACCAAGTCGCTCCTGTGCATGCCCATTCGCAACAGTGACGGAGAGATCATTGGAGTCGCTCAGGCCATCAACAAGACCTCCAGTGGCGAACTCTTCACCGAAGATGATGAGAAGGTAATTTCGTCATTACAGCCGAGAGTATAAATGCTGAAGGTGAAGAACACACAAAGTGAAATATTGAACCCTGCTGCCTGCTTGGCCTGCGCCGAATAGACCAAGATATATATTTATTAGATAAGCCACACTGATTAGGTGGTTTGTCTCAGTAATTGTACACCCTGTGGCTTTTGGGATGTGTTGTCTTTACTTATTTGAATAAATTAATCAAAATAAATGCAATCATTATAGCGTCTACATACAAGTGTGAGAGTGGCAAAGCAATAAAAAGGGATTTTATGCATCCGTTGTGTTAATCTTAACAACACAAAGGAACAAATGATCATGAAGTCATATGGTTTTTGATAGTTTGTAACATATTTCTGCAGAATTGCATCAACTACAGTTAACGCCAAAAGGCTGGTCCATCTCTTTGGCCAGTAAGGCTTTGTACAGACATTCACGCTCCCCAGAGGATGAACTGTTATCACTAGTGATCCTGTTACAACTCCTCTAGCGTCTCCAGTAGGCTGGGTTGGTGTGAAATCTCTTCAAATATCCTGTGAAATACCTGCACATCTATCTATGATTGACACATTGGTGCAGACATTCTTGGTTTCCCAACAATTTCACCGTAAAACTTCAGTGTCTGGTGATTTTTTTTAATGCATTTTTTTTGTTTAGAGTTCAAATGATGAATTCAAATAATAAACTGTTGCACAAACATTCACATTTTCCCATCGGATGACATGCAACAGCTTCAGGGACACCTCGACCTTTTCTCCCAGCATCATCATCAGGTTAAAATTTCAGTGAACACATACCTGCAAAAACCAACGATATCAGCCTAAAGAGCAAACAAAACCAAGACACGGATGACGGAAACACCAGCATGTTAACATCGTACGCAAGCTGTCATGCTGATGATGGCGATGCCCAACTACAGCGTTCCCAGAGCTGCTAGCAAGGCTCCAGACTCTTGTTTTTACTGCAGCACATTGAGGTATAGCACAGAGGAAAGAACAGCCCTGAAGTAACGCTCATGCTTTATGATTCATGTGTGGCATTTCAAGGATGTTACTCAGTGTTTTTTCTTTTTTTTTCTTTTTTGTAGACAAACACTGTTCCGTGGTGTTGAGGGTACACAAGCATAGCAGGGCTACAGTGATGCGAGATGTCAGTTTTCATTACCGTCAATGCTGCAACACTCATGAGTTTACAGAGATAGCAGAGATACTGAAAACAAGAGGGGATTCTCTGAAGCCAAAAGGGGATTTTTGTTTTTTTTCTCCACATTTTGTCTCCTTTGTGTGTTATGATTTGCGCTGTGACCTACAAGCGTGGAACGTTTTATTCATTGTTGAGTGATTCTTGTCGATTTCTGTGGTTTTATGCTCAGACTGAGTTTTGTTTTTACTGTTCCTTGAATTGCTAAACAAACTGGAGGTGCTTGTGGTGATTCAGGGGCCTGCTAACCATTCGGAGCGTTGAGATTTTGCAGATGTAGTTTTCAAATGAGGCTCTTAATTATTAGTTAACACCAAAACTTTTTCACATTATCAAGATGATGACTAATTGACACATTGATACAGAGTCTGTTATTTCTTCAATACATCATGTAAATTGTGGGAATGGTTACTACAGTGTATGTTTTCCACGGAAACTGAAAAATGTCAATGATATGAGTAGGAAGTTCTGCATTTACCAGAGGATCATAGCATTTCAGATCGCAGGCAGACCGATGCCATCATCACAGCGAATAATTACTTCCACCTGAGATTACATATATTCCTAAGAGTCTGACTGTATCTCATGCCATGATGTCCTTCTCTGTTTGACAAGCAGCACCAACTGCTCATCTGCCATCAAACAGCAGCTAATGTCCGCTCCATCTCGGTTTGTCCAAACTGAAAGTAGCTAAAATTTATTATTTAAAGAATTTCACCCAACTCACTTGTCTGACAAGCGGCACATTTGCCCAAAGACTGAGTCTCAGTACTCGGTTTCTAGCTGGACTGCAGCATGTCTCGGTCTCTGAGCTTCATTAAATTTTCCTAAGGCAGAATTGTTCCAAAGGGCCCGGACACTGTGGTAAAACCACCAAGAATAATAACTTTATATATGCAGTTCAGAGTCTCACATTGGTTAACGCTTCACTTAAGTGCTGAGTGGAGCAGCCAGCGTGTCAGCGATTAATTTAGTGTCACCATTTATGTGATTTTGAGCCGCTGCCAAAGAGTTAACGCCGGAGCAGGATTTGTGGCAGAGTTTGGGCCCCCTTAGATGCTCCTGTAGTGGGTTTGAAACAGATCCAAGGAGGCTCTCGGATGATTTACATTCCTGCTCCTTTGGGAATCATTTCAGTCTGTAAACAGCTGAGTGAAGTTGGCAGTTGCAACAAAGACGCAGAAATTACTGAATGAATGTAATATTCAAATATAATATGTCAAAGCAGCCGGTGGGGGAGTGAGCGCTCACACTGATCCAGATCCAGTCTTGTGTTTCTGAATGATCGTCTATCGGCGAGGCACGAGGAGCACGTGTTTAGTCCATCAGCACGCTTGAATAGATGTAGCAGAAAGGCGGTGACAAGCCAATACACTGACTTGCTCTCTTATTGCATGAGCCCCTAAAGGGAGGGAGAAGATGAAACATGAAATGCAAAGCTTGCTGTGCTTTTATTTCAGAGATCATTTTCGACTGTCGTGTTGTTATTTACCGTATGTTTTTCTCCGTCGCTGCTCCGCCGTCAAAATTACATCCCTATTGATGATAACAGATGCAGATTAGGAATTCTTTTTTCTTTATTCCCATTGTTTTGAGTGTGCTTCACATTGCATTAACCTCACGCTAATGTCTGGGATGGCTACAGCTGAATTAGTAATGAAATGCAATGCTAGCTTTAGAGAACGCAGTACGCTTCCCTGTACGGCTCAGCTGCAGCTCTGCTTTTATGGAAGACCTTGTAATAAGAAAATGCATCACACTTTCCAAAGCATTAAACGATACGGCAACAGCACATGTCATTAGAGGTAAAGTGTATCTTTATGGAAACAAAATGTGCTGAAACTTTACAGGGTTTTGAACGCATTACACGGCTGGTTTTGAATTCCACGCTTCCCTAATTACGTTCTGTTGATACACCGGATTGGAGACCTTTGAGGAGTCAGAATAATGGTTCAACCCATGTATAATTGCAATGTCTCATTATCTTCTCTGGAAGAATGTAGCTGCTGACTTCATTTAAGAGTATAGACTGACCTCATCCTGCTATCTCCATATCCTAGGTTATTATCCTGATTTAGCTTCTCTTTTCACTTTGTCTTTCAATACATCTGACGTGTATTATCTTTGGATAGACATCCTTATGAATGATCTCCTAATAAGATGCAGGTTCTCCTGTGTAGGTTCAATCAGCCAATCTAGTTGAACATCTGTATGAGTCAATTGTCAAATACCATTCTCCCCCTTCACCGTTGTGCTCCCTCTGACAGCCAAAGTCCCTGTTAAATCAGCTTGAAGGAACACTTTAATGAAGAATTTCACACAGTTTCCCTATGTAAATCCACAGCAAAAGAACTGAGAACACAATTTCTGCTCAAGCTACGTGTTTTTATGACAATCCTGGAAGATATCAGATCAAATCTAATTCATAAAGTGCACCATACCAAACATGTTCCTCACAAAGTGTCACAAAAGTCCTCTTAAATCAAGAGAAAATGGATAAATGGAGCAATATTTCCAATATGCGGCCACGGTCTGGGTAAAAACACGTCAATGAGAATGTATACGTGTTGATGAATTGTACCTGCAAAGTGTCGCTGTTGGAAATCTCTGAAGTGTGTAGTGCACAGAGCAACCCCAAACCATAAATGTAGAGCTACAGTAGGTGCATGTGCTCCGAGAGAGAAAACAGAAGGGATGGTGAGGTGGTTCAGAGATTGAACTGTTTGCTGGATAAGTAGGTAAGAAGTGTGAACTTGGATGAAATTTTGATGGAAACTACAGTTGGCATCTATAAGGATTTTGATTTTTTGATTTGGAGCAAGTGTGCAACCAGAAAACATATAAACTTTATATTTTGTGTTGTGTAATGCGCTGGGAGGACATTTTATTTTAAAGGTAAAAAAAAGGGGAAGATTTAAAACTGCACCTGAGGGGATGCCAAAGTTTTAGATTCACAGCTACTGCAACAGATTGTGAGATCTGAGTGGACAGCTCTCAATATAGATCAAGAAAAGATGAAACCATTATGATCTGGCAGATAGTAATTATTGTTGCTTTGAAAAGAGCCATTCTCGTGGCAATTTGAATAATAGAATTGTTGGTGTCCAACACATTTAATGTGTGCACGCTTTAGTCAAAGAAATATTTAGGAAGTGCAGAAATTCTATTTTTTTGTAAAGAGTAAAAACGCAGTGGTTCATACTGCTGTAGCTCACCATTAGAAACAAGAGCCAGGTGGGACAGTGGTGAGTGGTTAGCATCGTTGCTTCACAGCTAGAAGGTTGCTGTTTTGCGTCCCAGTGAGGACACCCGGGAGTTTGCACGTTCTCCCTGTGGGTTCTCTCCGGGTTCTCCAGCTTCCTCCCACAGTCCAAAAACATGTTGAGGTTAATTGGTGATTCTAAATTGTCAATGGGAGTAATTGTGTGCTTGGTTGTCTGTCTCTAAGTGTAGCCCTGTGATAGACTGGTGACCTGTCCAGGGTGTCCTCTGCCTTCACCCTAAGTCAGCTGGGATAGACTACAGCCCCCCACGACCCTAGTGAGGATTAAACGGTGTATAGATAATGGATGGATGTGAATTTAGTTTGAAGGAGAAGTTTAGTATTTTACAGTTTGATGACGCCTTCAAGGACAATCACTATTTCTGGAAAATTCACACATTTAAAAAGTATTCAGACAATAGCAAGAATACTTTAGCATAAAAAATTAAGTCAAAATATGTTTAACACTGATTTATAATGAAGTGATAGCCGGCCTCTGCATACATGTCAAAGATAAAACATAATACAA